AAAGAGATGGTCTATAAACATGAGATGTAGTAGGTGCCAGTAAATGAGAGATCTGGACTATATTACAGCTATAGAGGGTCATCTGTAGAGACACAGCAATTGAAACACGTGGATGAGATCACCCAAATTATGTGTGAAGGAGAAGAAAAGAAGGCTAAGGGTTTTACATCAGTGTTTAAGGGGTAGGTAGAAATTGAGTTGGCAAAGGCAATGGAAGAGGCTGAGTGGGGTCAGTGGTTTGACAATAGGAGAACCAGAAAAGAGTCACTTAATAGCCAAGTGTATCTATTGCTGTATAACAAACCACCCCCAAATTTCATGGTTTGAAACAATTACCATTTATTATTTCTCATGAATCTACAGGTGAGCAGGACCAGTCTGCTGATCTTAGCAGAGCTCACTTATATGTCTATAGACAGGTAGTAGATTGGCTAGGGGCCAGCTGGTGTAGGATGGCCTCAGTGAGGATGACTCATTTCTCTTCTGGATGTCTCTCTTATCTGCCCAGTATGCTAGCCTGCACATGGTCTCAATACTGGCTGGGCTGAAGAGAGGAAGCAGAATGTTAGCACTTTCCCCAAGCTGTGCTGCATTGAGTTTGTTTTTAACTCATTGACCAAGGCAAGTCACATGACTAAGCTCAGAATGGGCTTGCAAGAGCACTACCAAGGGACTTGGATAAGGAGGCCCCTTAAAGATTGGGGCCTTTGATTCAGCCTCTCACACCAAGAGACAAGAAAAAAATTTTTAAAGGAAAGTAGATAATGGTTATATGCATTACAGAGGTTAAATAGGATAAGGGATGGGAACAGGCTATTAGATTGGTAATGAAGAGGTCATGTGTGGCCTCAGCCAGAACTTACTGGATAAAGTATTGAGGTAGAAGCTTCGTTGCAGTTAGTTGGGGAATGAAAGAATTTGAGGAAGAGGAGAAACCTGAAAAACATGCAGAAAGGCAGACAGGGCATAGGTGCAGGTGACAGTTACAGTGGTTGGAGTAGATTGAAGAAAGGTTCCATCTGCTCCCTCCCCTCCTGCACACCCTCAAGGAATGGAAAGTTAAAAATGTGTGAATGGGGCTTCCCTGGTGGCGCAGCGGTTGAGAGTCCGCCTGCCGATGCAGGGGACACGGGTTCGTGCCCCGGTCCGGGAAGATCCCACATGCCGCGGAGCCGCTGGGCCCGTGAGCCATGGCCGCTGAGCCTGCGCGTCCGGAGCCTGCGCTCCGCAACGGGAGAGGCCCCAACAGTGAGAGGCCCGCGTACTGCAAAAAAAAAAAAAAAAAAGTGTGAATGGGAAGCACTGTTAGAACAATGCCTGAGCATGAGGGCAGAATGAGTTGAAGACCCCGGGGAGGAGAAGAGAGGGCCACCTCTTGTTTCAGACTGGGTTCCTCTTACTGCTTCCTGTGGCAGGTCTGTTTTGCAGCAAGGACAGTCCAGCTTTTTAATATGTTAAATTTATTTCAGGATTGTTTTTCTTTATTGTTCCAGTCTGAATGAAATATCTGATCTTTATTTTGAAAATAAAAGTTAATATGCTTTGTTTTAAAATAACATTTTTTTCCCAGTCTATACAATTTTAGAACATTTGGAAAACACTACAAAGTGTTGTACAGGGGGGAAAAATGACCTCTTATCTGTGGACACACACCTTGTTTTTCCTTTCACAAAATTTGGATTATACTCAAAATACTGTTTTTAATGTATAACACTTTAACCTTAGTTATGGATTTTTATATAAAGAAGATTAAAGTTATAGTTATCAAATCAAATGCTTAATAAAACTTTCCTTAACCCTCTATTTCAAGGATATGATTTCTTTTTTTCTGTCAAGACCACTGACCCACAGACAAGAATAACACTTAACACAATGCCCATAAAGAACTATTAATTGGACAAGATGAAGGCAGTAGGAGAGGGAATTCTTTTTAGGGACAATTTTAAGCATTTTTATTTTCCTTTTTTTTTTTTTTTTTTTTTTTTTTTTTTTTAAGGGGGCTGTGCCACTTGGCACTGCTGACAGGATCTTAGTTCTCCAGCCAGGCATTGACCCGGTCCACAGCAGTGAAAGCATGGAGTCCTAACCACTGGACTGCCAGGGAATTCCCTATTTTCCTATTTTTTAAACTGACTATAAGGTATGACAACCAAATGCAGTGTGTGAACTTTGATTAGATCCTGGATGGGCAGAGAAACAGCTATAAAGAATATTTTGGAGACAGGTAAATCTGAACATGGACAGAAGAGAAATGGTAGTAAGAGAAAAAAGGAAAAAGGAAAGGGAGAGATTAAGGCAGGAGAAGGCACAAATGCCATCAATTCTGGGAAACGGGCTCTAAAGTAAATGTTTGCACCAGCTCTGCCCTTCACTTGGCCAAGGACACCAGGTGGAACACTGGCCTCTCAAATCCTTATCACTTGTTCTTTCTACACAGGAAAATAGCTTACTTCCTTTTTTTTTTTCTTGCGATATGCGGGCCTCTCACTGCTGCGGCCTCTCCCGTTGCGGGGACGCGCAGGCTCAGCGCCCATGACTCGTGAGACCCGCCACTCTGCGGCATGTGGGATCTTGCCGGACCGGCGCACGAACCCGTGTGCTCTGCATCGGCAAGCGGACTCTCAACCACTGCGCCACCAGGGAAGCCCTGCCTTTTTTTGTTTTAATTCAAAGTGTTTCTCTGAACTACAGGTTTGCTTCTCACGGAAACCTTAAGACTCTACATGTAAGTGAGGAAAACATGTAGAATTTAGACCTTTTTTTGGTACGTTGGTCAGTCTGCATAGTTACTTTGAAAATCTCCTTGATGTTTACAAGCTCCCTGATTACTTTATCTTTTATTCTTAAATGATAAGGGTAACCTAGTTCCACATTGCTGGGAGGTAACATAGGGAGTAATATGCCTGGTACATGTAGACTTGCAATTAAACTCAGCTTAAATAAGAGTTCTTTCCTTCCATCCTTTACATCTTATTGCTTCAAATCCCCTATCCTTTCCAAGTGAAAAGTGCTAACATTGTATTTCTCTCTCTAAACAGGCTGCTTCCTTGGGATTACTACAGTTTCCTATCCTTAATGCTTCTGTGGATGAAAACTGCCAGAACGTAACATATAAGGTTGGCTATGTGCTGTGATAAATAAAAGTGCAAATGTGCTTGTAGGTTAAAGAAGCTTCTATTATACCTCAAGTGGTAACTGGAAGTTAAAGTATGGGGTAAAACATTAAACTGAAGATAAATCTGTTGCTATTGATGTTGGTTTTACTGGTTAATAATTAATGATACTATTCAGATATGCAGATTGCCACTTTTAACGCCTTTTGGTTTTCTGGTTAAAGTAATGGAAATATACAGCTGTGAGGCAATGGTTTACAGTTCCCATTGTACATACCCTCTCCGCAAACAGAAGAGCTCTCTCAAAATGGAATTCCTGCAGTTTTTAAAACAAGAATAATTTAGGGACTTCCCTGGTGGTCCAGTGGTTAAGACATCGCGCTCCCAATGCAGGGGGCCCAGGTTCGATTCCTGGTCGGGGAACTAGATCCCTCATGCCACAAGAAGATCCCGCACACAGCAACGAAGATCCCACGTGCCGCAAGTAAGACCCGGCACAGCCAAATAAATATTAAAAAAAAAATTAAATAAAATCACATGCTTGTGTATTGATACCCATTAAAAAAAATAAATAAAGGGACTTCCCTTGTGGTCCAGTGGTTAAGAATCCGCCTTCCAGTGCAGGGGATGCGGGTTCGATCCCTGGTTGGGGAACTAAGATCCCACATGCCGCAGGGCAACTAAGCCCCGAGCGCTGTGGAGCCCGTGCGCCACAATTAGAGGCCTGGTGCAGCCAAAAATAAATAAATAGTTTTTAAAATTTTAAAAATAAATAAAATAAAACAAGAATCATTTAAATGAGGAAAGTACTGAAAGTTTGAATTCATTGAGTGAACTCTTCTCTTTGGAGTGAAAGTTCATTAAGGCTGATAACTCTTTTGAGGATGCGGCCCTCACTTATATTTCTTATTAGAAATATACAACCAGGAAGTGAGCTTTACATTCTGGGGGGTTGGATCTAAAATCTTTCCATGTTATTAATACAATTTCCTCATTAAGTATATACTTGTTGCAAACAATTCAGACAAGAAAATAGTGATATTTACCTTCAGTCCCATAATCCTAAGATAACTCACTGTTTATGCTGAGATGTACATCTGTCTAGGATTTTATTTTTACACAGTTAAAAAATATGGGGCTCCCCTGGTGGCGCAGTGGTTGGGAGTCTGCCTGCCAATGCAGGGGACATGGGTTCATGTCCCGGTCCGGGAAGATCCCACATGCCGCACTGCGCTGGGCCCGTGAGCCATGGCCGCTGAGCCTGCGCGTCTGGAGCCTGTGCTCTGCAACGGGAGAGGCCACAACAGTGAGAGGCCCGTGTACC